TCTAATTACATCTAGGCTCTGGTATGGTGGTCAAACTAGTGAAGCTTGCAGAACACAACAAAATTGGAGTGTCGAAGCAGCAAAGAAAATCTCTTACACTTGGACAGTATTCAGTATTCCTGTGTCAGATTTACTGTGGACTGTATACTGCACTGCAGGAACCGTCGCAGGCAGTAAAAAACAGTCCGATCTGTTTGCAGAGGCAGGTGTTGTCGTGACCTTCACGGAGAGTTTGCCTTGCAGGGCATTTTGTTCTCCTCGGCTGACTGTCTGAAACAGAGCAGCGATCTGGTGCGGCTCTGGATGCACGAAGCATCTCGAGTGTACTCTGACAAGCTGGTGGAGACCAAGGACTGCGAGCTCTTCAACAAGTTACTTTTGGATGCCGCACACAAACACTTTGAGGTAAGAATTCCCATCCCCTCCAGCTTCCTGTATGTTCAGTCGTACTGAAGTCTTTGGATGCAGGTGAAGTCTTTCTCTGTAGTGTTGACATAATCCATCAATACAAGCGTACTGACATTTCTCCTGTTCAGTAACAATCCTCACTAAGAAGACGCTGAAAGCTGTCTTTTATGTTCCCACTTTTGCAGAATAAGCAGGTACTGTATGTACAGTAAGTCTTTAATAAGCACGATTTTACCTTTTCCAAAAGCTTTTTTTTAAGAAGAAATATAACTTCTATTGTTATCAGATAGTCAGTAACGTCAAAGTCATAGCCCCTTGCCTTGTGATTTATCGCAGGCCTGCAGGCAGGAAAGGGCTTGGCATATTATTCTGTTTGAACTCAATATGCTGTTTTGTTTTGTTTTGTTTTTTTTTGGTTCAGAAGGTACAGAAAGGCAGACCACACTAAACACTGGCGCCCTGTGATTTACTGCTTTGTAGCCAGCGGGGCTGAATGACTTAGCCTCCTAGGACGAAGAGTTTCTAAAATGAGTGTTTCTTTGTTTGGAAGGGCGTGGAGGATCATATCCTACGGCAGAGGCCTCTGATTTATTGCCACTTTGCCAACGGAGTTGGAGAATCCCGCTATATGCCAGTCAGAGACTGGGAGACGCTGAAGAAAGTGCTGGTGGAGACTCTGGAGAGCTACAACGAGCTCAACGCAGCAATGAACCTTGTGTTGTTTGAAGATGCGATGCAGCATGTGTAGGTGTATTTGACTTATCTCTGAGCCATGGCACCGAGCTGTGTAACAGTGTGGCCCGTGCTGGGTCAAAGCCTCTGGAACGTGGGAGGCATTTAAAAAAAGACGTTGAACAAGTTGAGGCTTGACTTCAGTAGGCAAACGACTGATACCGGAACTCTTCTTTTAACTTCATGAGATTTTATCGATTTGTCTTCACAGACCCCTTTTCAGAATTGTGTTCTGAAGTTGTGTCACATCAAAGGATTTAGTAACTCTATGTACAGACGTTCGGCGTGCTTTCAGAATGACCTTAGCTGTTAGCGCTGCAAGTGTACAGAACCTGCGGCATGTTGTAGGAAATTTTCATTAAGAAGAGAAGTGGCACCCTTTTAGTCGTGTGGAAGGAAGTTGAGATGGGTGTGATAATACTGCCGCGGCTACGGGCACCAGCCCAGTGCTTCCCAGCAGTGGTAGCTGACCCCCCGCTGACCCCCCGCTGACCCCCGCTGACCCCCCGCTGACGCAAACCCTCTCTCTCCAGCTGCCGAATCAGCCGCATCCTGCAGGCCTGCCGGGGCTACGCGCTGCTGGTGGGGGTGGGCGGCAGTGGGAAGCAGAGTCTGTCCAGGCTGGCCGCCCACATCAGCGCCCTGGACGTCTTCCAGGTCTCTCTCCGCAGGGGCTACGGCATCCAGGACCTGCGGGTAA